GAAGTGTGCGCTTTATTAAATACGACTCTATCCTATGGCAAATACTCTATTACCCTTCACGGAGACGCTTGATCAAGTGTGCGCTTTATTAAATACGGATGGTTGTTATGTACAAGACGTCATAGTTTATTACTTTGAATTTGAAATTTAATCGACAGTAATAACAGAACATTCAGTATAATATATTAAATAACACATATCTGAGAGGGTTATAGAGCAGATTGTTACCCCTCGAAAAGACATTGTCAACCTTGGCTTCGCCTCAGTTGACAATGTTTTCTCGGGGTAACAATCTGCTCTATCACCCTCTCAGCTATGTGTTATTTATATAGTGTTCGGAGAATGACACGAATTTTGCAGGTAAAGGAACCACTGCAATAATCTTTTTGATTGCAAAGCAAAATTTCTGACACTGCTCAGCATGTCCTCTTTTTCATTGGTCCCTGTCGATATTGTGTAACGACAGAAGCAAATTGATCAATTGTTTTTTTTTCTACCTATATATGCATTGAGTATTTGATATTGGATGTAAGAAAACAATTGTCGAATACTTCGAGCATTTCTATAGTGAGATGAAATCTCGACAACCATCAGAGTCTTGGGACATCCGAGTAATCACTGTTACAGCATTTAATTACTTTGATTAGTACAGTTTTGGACGTAAGAAATTGATGAAGACTTATTTCCATGTTAATTTAAACAATATAATACATAAATAGGATAATTGTTATTAATTTAAAAAAATAATAATAATACCTTGCTCCCCATCTTCATTGTCGTCTTCGTCGTTTAATCTACTCCTGTTTGGAGCTGGTCGCACCTGCATATTCTTCTTTTTCTTGCGGTGACATTTACAGAAAAAATATATCGCCATTGCAGACACTGACGTAATAGCGAAAATAGCAACAAATATAACAACTATTAACAATCCAGACCATTGACTATCCGTTGCCATCTGAAATTTAGAAATACTCTAAATGAATTTTCCGTACATGCATCGGAGTTTATCTTCGCCATTTGAACTATGGATAATTTTATCATTGGCGATCATACCACTTCTCCTTATTTTTATATGACAAATACACCATAGTTAACTTAAATCATTTAAATTTGAATTAAAAAAAAAATTAAGTGAAAACCTAGCAAGCAATTGACCTAAGTTCGAAACATTCCCAACTTTTCACTTTAAAGTCATCGCAGAATATTTTTCAATTCAAGAATATCTGTTTGTACCCATGTGTGAATACTTGTAAGAAGACTTAAATTATACATACCTTTTCTTTAAAAGTTAATTATGATTCAGAATAAAATTGCATTATTAATTCCGTAGTTTTTCCGGATTCTGTTGTCTAACTGTACAATGTGACCTTAGTATATATTTGACATAATCTCACAATGTTAGTTTACGAGAGAAGAACAGATTAGAAGATTAACCAGCTTACGAATGGTTTTTAGATCTGGTAGCGTTTTACTAATTAATTAGAGAAACGTGTGTGTATTTAAAGTATAATTAGGCTAAACTTAATCTGAGAAGCTCAAAATGTAGGGCCTATTTTTAATGTGCTTATAAGTATACAAAATAAATCACAAATAGATAAAAGTTTGAGAGTATTTGTATGTCCAAGCCGCTAGGCGGAGAGGGCATTAAGGCTTACGCTTGTCCGTCCGTGCGTCCGTACATACGTCATGAAATTGGTTTCCGTTTTCTTACTTAAGTTTGCCTCAATCCATTGTTATCAAACGGCTTATACACAATGATCATTATCACCAAACACAGATCAAGTTCGAATGTTGGTGGCGTCACATTCACCGTTCTGAGCAATGTCCCTTTATAAATGGAAATATTGCTGAATTTGCTGTTTCCGCACCTAATTTTCCTTTGCCTCAATCAAATTTTATGTAACTTGTACACAACTAGAACACACCCGCGACATCGCGAGTCCTTGACAGATTTAAGTACCAACGTCTTATTTTTAGCCTGGATTTTTGGTATTCGTATTGTCATCTGAAAAAAATCATGCTGATTAGAAGGTGCACAGTTTTCTCTGCTTTCAATATCTTTCTGTTTGAACCCGTCATGGTTTTCTTTATACTACAACCGGAAACTCCTACATGTGACATACACTTTTGGAATCCAAGTATGTCCTTACCAGTTTCCCGTTTTTTTCCATGGCATTTGTGCGGCATCCGGGGTGACCTTATACCTTTTTTGTATATAATTGTTTGTATGTATTGCATTTTTTATATTGTTGAGCAGGGCCGTAACTACATTGAGGCAAATGAGGCAAATGCCTTATGATTGAAAATTTCGAGAAAAAAAAATGATAAGTTGAAACAAAAGCTTGTCTTCATATCAAATTGTTTTCACGGCGAGTGTCTTGCAAGAAGCAAGTTCTGTTCACCCTCTGTCGTTATGTGTCTTATCTGTTACCGAGTTTGTCTTTTATTCGTTTATTGCCCTTCTTTATGACTATTGTCTTAGTGTTGAATTTCATTTGTAAATTTAATTTAGTAATTTTTTTTTAAACTTGAGTTTTATTATATTTAAGATCTTTTGTCTAATTTCAAAAACTACTTTAAATTGTAAAAATATTTGAAATTAGCTCTCGCTTTTTTGTTCTGAGGCGGCGTTAAGCGAACACCAATCAATTAATCAATCAATCAATCTTTATGACTAACGCTTCAGTTGTCCAACATTAAGCTGTTGTTGATTCTTCTCGTAACATCTGTATGTTGTAAACGTCCATTCTCTGCTTTGGGTAGACTTAAGACTTTGGAAAGATCAACGATGACGGGTGAAAGGTTGTGTGGTTTGGCAATGCTGCATGTCCACCGATGTCCAGATATTGTCACAGTCGAAAAAATGGTTTGAGAAGATTCGATGCTACCGGACATAGAAAAATTGGTCGTTATTTTCATGGAAAATCAAACTTTATATTAAAGAATACAAGACTGGGTCTCTTTTCTGTAAATAAAACTAAAAAGCTGACATGGGTTAAATTAAAGTGAGACAACCAATCTCCCGGAATCAAATCATTTAAAAAGAAAAATCATCATGTATTGCCTTACGACCTTTTACATTGAAGGACTAAACTTGCATTAAGCCGTGTTCAGGCCCTTAAATAGAAAATAAAGGGATATGGAGTAAATGTGCATGGGACAAAATCGCACACACTACATTAGGTACAAATTATCAATGAACAGGGTTTTTATTCCTGTTCTTCATCTTGACAGTCGCTTGAGGGTCTTCAACAATAAAAGAATCATGCATACCCTACAACAATGTCAAGACGGCCCCTAGCGTCGACTTAAGCGGTACTTAAAGTATAGTACTATGAATAAATTTCAAAGTCACAAAAAAATACACCAAAGTCTAAACACAATACAAGACCAGAACAGACAGATCCGACATTAATCAGCCGGTATAAAATGTAGCAATGAGGTTTAAGAACAGTTTTCCTGAGTCTACCCTGAGTGTACCCTTTTATCCCAGTTAGGAACTACATCAAGTTGTAATTGAAATGCGTTATAAAATCTGAATTCACATAGTTAGATAAATGATAAGCAGTCCCCTCTTAACTTGATTTGAAAAAAAAATAATTGACAGATATAATACGTTTTCTGCAAGCCGAAACTCAATTCAAAAAACAAAAACAAAAAAAAAACAGCAGCCACACACTTAATCATGTGAAATACGATTTTTGCTTTATCCTACTTATCGGTCTTTTGATGTTGTCCCTAAAAACTAAGAGTCTTACAATGAATCTATATATTTTGCTTTGAGACCAGAATATTGTCGAAAACATAATTAAAACAAAATTTGCGTTTCAGATTAAGAACGGGTCCGAGAAACTCTCAGAATGCACAATTTTGCGTCATTTTTTCCAGAGCTTCTCGGGGCCTTGAGCGGCCCCCCAGGCCCCTCGCCGAAATTTTTTTCGCTCGGCGAATATATTTTGCCTCACTTTAAAAAGAGGCTAGTTACGGCCCTGGGTGGCCTTCGGCTGTTGTCTGCTCTTTGGTCGGGTTGTTGTCTCTTTGACATATTCCCCATTTCCACTCTCAATTTTATAAACTCTTGCATATTTAAGAGCGGGGGCATCTGTGTTCCATGTTCTTCTTTCAATGTTATATCATCTACTTGAATATTTTCATTTCAGTATTTGGATGAGGGACCAAGGATTTGTATAGTATACAAATCCTTGGAGGGACATATTTCGACCCCGTTTTCAAGATTTGAAAAAAATACGTACGTCGCACAATACGAGACATATAACTTGAGGATCATTGCTAATCATGCGACTGTGGTGTTAGCTATTTGTATAAAGCTTTATGTTCCAGAAGGGGTAGACCTGGATGCATTATACCTTGTATACATATGCCTTTGTTACCAAGTTTATGTCGCTGTCATCTGTCTAAATGTCCTTAAACTCATTTTCATGGTTCAGCGACGGCCGAAAAAAAAAGATATTTGTTTTTGGTGATGTGAATTTCTCACTAATCATGAGTAACATGATGATTGTATTTGATATATTGGATTCTTGCAAGAAAAGTTAACTTGAAAAGAAATGCAAAATCTAGACATTTCCAGTTGAATGGTCGCCGATTGGCGCAAGTAACAGCACGTTTTTACTCAGTCTAACGTGTCATGAGTGTAATGCATAATTGGATCAGAGGCGGATTTAGGGGGGCAGGGTGCCCGCCACATTGGGAAGCACTAAAAAATTAAACAATCGTTATGATAAACATGCATTCCTAATTGTTCATAATTTTATTTTCAAACCCCCTTGTTAGTATCATTTTTTCTCAGTCCCCAACTTTCCAGGTTATTTTTCCGTTTCTTCCACCTTCTTCTTACTTCTAACATTGTTACCATACATTATGCATTGATTCATAATCTTAATCATAAGTCGGTGTAAGTAATATTTCTTTTTACTTATCGCAAGTCCCAGTGTACACCTTAAAAATAAAGGTGGTCCCCGTCTTTTGCCGGAAACATTCTTAACCGGACCCGTTCCCGAACCACTTATTATCCTTTTAATTCCACTTCCTTTTTAATCCAACATGTCGAAAAGAGGTTAACATTTGCTATATTCCTGAAATAAATCCCTAATCATCTGTCAATCCGTAACACAAGTAGTTAAATGTATCTATTATTCAAGAAGATTAGTGATTCAACTTGGTCTTTATGTTGAAATTTCGAAAATCTGACCAATAGTGAAGGAGATTCCGTATTATTTGTAACGTAGTGGTAGAATTTTAGAAAAACAAATGCATGTAAAACATACCACAAATTTGTCATTTGAATCATAAACTTTGAAAAGTGATAGATTTAACCCTACAAGCTCATTCAATTTGATTTCTCATGTTATAACAATTAATTCTTCATAATGTTATTCGAGTACAGTTCCATTACTTTGTATACATTTGTATGTTGAATATGAATATAATTCTTAATTTATGTCTACAATTGCAGTGTCCGAAACATTTAAACATAATTCAAAAAGAACATGACGATTGAACTGTTCTCAACTACGTTTAGGCCTTCACCAGAGAGGTGTACATGTACTTTGCACTGTTAAGCTTACTTTGTGGGATGTAACCTGAAGGCCCCGATTTGGTGTTCAACTAGCTGCAGAACTGTAGCTCTTTAGGTCCTTTTGATATTATTTTTTTACAATTTACAGATCATAGAGCTAAGGATTTAACCTATTTTAAAACATTCGGAATTGTGACCAAAGTTGAGGTCGCACTTATTTCAAAAATTTTATTGTTTGTCGCCCATGCATAGTTTGTGAATGTATAATGTTTGTTTCATTAGATCTTTTTCTATGATATGACGTACCTATTTAGCTTTGAATATTCATATCCTTGACACGTTTTATCTATTTATTTCCTTTTGTATATGTCTCCGCCTATTTCAATCCTAGATCTCCTATATTTGAAGTGAAGAACACATACAGAATAGGAAAACACATTTTGGTTTGATTACGTTTTACTAAGCAATATTTCTGCATGTCAAATCCATCAATATAGAACTCAAAGATATTGTATGATTGCCAATGAAACAACTCTCCACCAGAGACCAAATTACATAGAAGTTAACAAATACAGGTCACCGTACGTAACCCTGTTAAACTATTAATTAAAATTTTAACGAACTACATCTACGCCATTACAACTAGCTCACCTTTCACTTACACCACCATCCATTACACCTGAAGAAGGTAAACAATAACAGAGAAGATATTTCCTTTCTGAATCCTTAAAATTTTCACTAATCTCTTATATCCCTTATGTTCTTTTAATTCAAACACTTAATGCTGAAAATCATCAGCAAGTATTGTGTACAGAAGAGAAAAAACATATCCAACTGACAAAAAACAACATTAAAAACGGCTGCATTCCCCGAAATATAGGTAAATGCAATACCAGAACTTGATAAAGCGATTTCCTGGTTTGATGAGAAAAATATTTTACGGATTCGTTTTTTTTTTCAGAAAGAAACCGTTAACATACATATATTTTTTTTGGTCCTTATACATTTTATTGATTAAATATGTTGTTAGGCGGCAGTATATAAACAATTTATTTATTCTAATTTCAGGAAGAGGAGGTTCCGCAGGAGGAAAATTCAGGATCTCCTTGGCTTTGCCAGTTGGAGCAGTAATAAATTGCGCTGATAATACAGGTATGAGTACATGTAAGGCCTAGTATAGGTAATCCACAAAAACTAGCAAAAGAGATGTAATGAAATGCTAGAAATCTTTTCAATTCATAAAGCAATTAGTCAGGAAACTTCAAAGATTCAAAACATATTGCAGTACAGAAAATATTTTGTTGATGTTTACATCATTTGTGTAAAGGTCTACAGTATTCTGTCAAAAAAAGTTAAAAAAAATGAAGTTAATTGATTTTGTTTAGGTTCATTTTATGTTTTCTGGGAGAAGAATAACATAAAAAATTGAAAGAAGTGTCAAAACATTGAAATATTAATTATCTTTAATATTTGTTCTATAAATTGAAAATAAACACAGTTTGGCATGTAATAGTAAATTGTTGCTTTAAATTGTATAGACCCAAAGGTCTTTTTTAAAACTTACTTGTTTTGAATAAGACGAAAAAGGCAAGCAGTAGAATTTTGCACTTTGAAAAAGTGGTAAACATGTTTAAGAATATTAAATCCATGGTTTTCTCTCCTCCTTTTACTTCAGATTTATTAATGCTTTCTTGGTATCTTTGAGTACAATAAAAAATACCCCTACATAATACCCATGGAAACTTTTCAGGGGCAAAGAACCTGTATGTGATTGCTGTCCACGGTATTAAAGGACGTTTGAATAGAATGCCAGCTGCTGGGGCTGGTGATATGTTTGTAGCCACAGTGAAAAAAGGAAAACCAGAACTCCGTAAAAAAGGTCAGCTTAATATTCTTTAAATGTGACATGAAATGGACTCACAATTTATGCATCAACTTGCAAGTAAAAGTGTGAAAAAAAATTCAGAAAAACTGATGTGAAGTTGTTAATTTTTTGGAAAATGTTTTTGATTGAAACAGACCATGTTAAATTAAACTTGTTCACAATGAACTTTTAGGTGTGTCTAGTTTTATAATTATGTTGAATGAGATCAAAATTGCTGACATGCTAACATGACTGCTGTTACTATAAATAGATTGAACAGTGGGGTAAAATGCATATAACTGTCAATTATTCTTAAGTTGTGCAACTTAAATAAATGAGTCTTCACAATTTTAACATTTGTGCTATTTTTAGAAGTTTTTTTGTCTAAAATGGAAGTGGTTGCACTTGTGTTCAGTCTTAATATTTAAATATATGTTGTATTTGATATTACATAACATAGATAAAGGTTGAGACTGAACATGAATGCGGCCACTTTCATTTTAGACTAAAACCATCTGAAAAGTGACGTTTTATGGCATATTTGATAAATTTTTGCTTGAATTTGAGCGTCTTTAATGACCAAATCAGTTCAAATCTTTTACTAAAAACCTAATTGAATCGACTGAAGTAGACACTTAAGCATTTAAAAAATGTCAAAAATCTTTCATCAGATGTACTCCAAATTGTAGGCCAAAATTAGCCCTTACCGGTCCTTCTCCTTTGCCATTTCTGCACTCTAACTTTAATTTGTCTCAACCATATGTTATGAAACTTAAACACAACGCCTATTACCAATTTGGGTGGTGTCACTTTTGCCTTTCTTGATTTATGTCCCTTTGAAAATTGAAAAATTGCAGAATTTGACTCATATTTAATCTGTGTCCCCTGGACACATTCTTCATTTATCTTTAATAATATAAAAACACTGAATTTGTTTTAACTAATCCACTTTTTATAATTTAGTTATGCCAGCAGTAGTGGTTAGACAAAGGAAACCAGTGCGGAGGAAGGATGGGGTTTTCATTTATTTTGAAGACAATGCTGGGGTCATTGTAAATGTTAAAGGAGAAATGAAAGGTTAGATTTCTGTTATGGAAAATATATTGAAGTCAACATGATAGTAATTTTGATAAGCTGTCTCCTGAGATAGACAGGGCTTCTATTAGATTTTGAAATAATTGTATGTTTTATTGTAATACAATACATACTACCGTAGAAAGGCTTGTATAGTCCGCGGTTTATTCTCCAAAATTGGACCTTCCAGACGGGGTGCGGACTATAGAGTACAATAAGCAAGAAATAAGAGAAAAATTTCAATTTCGCGGGCGAGGTGGTTTGTTTACGTTCCGCCATCTTTGTTAATTATATTGTAGAGGGCGCTCTTATCATTTTTCAAACTAATAATTTTAACTCATCCATATTAATAAGTTATTTCTATTCAATATCAAATTAATACTGATAAATATAAAAACTAAACCTTTCATTACAAATTTCTCGTTTCTTTTCAATGCATTGGTTGAAATAAACTGGTATCTGCTTGATTGAAACGATACAAACATAGTGAAAAAGACAACCGTAAACCAGCTTAGAATTTGTAAACTACAAAACGTAATCGGTTATTGTTCGTTCCGTTTTGGTGTTTCATACTGACTAATATGGTTTGTATTAGCTTAAGACCCTTCAAACATTAATGTGATAGATATATTAAAGACTGTTTTACAAAAGGATGGAACTGTTTTGCTTTCAAAGTCGTATTATAGTGATATCTGTTATGTACGGATTTCGACTCTCACCGGTTAATTTCTTCTTTTACACTTGCTTTTTAAACTTCCTGTTTAAACATACACAAGTTTCTAAATTGTTTTTTAAGTGAATAAAACTTATTTTAACAATCATGAAGCGTTCTAGAATCATTTACAAGCAGTTTCAGCTTCTGTTCGATGATGGAAAACAGGTTTTTCCAAGAAAATACCGCAAACGACCGCACAGGATTTGAAATTACCGGAGTTTCATTAGAACTTTTCTAACAGTTACAAAAAGTTTTTTTACCTAAAATTTCGTGGGGAGAAGGGGGTGCGGACTATGTACCAGTGCGAACTATACAAGCCTTTCTACAGTATTAGTTATTTTGGTGTTATCAGGGGTGTACAGATTCTTCAACACCAGTGTAAAATTCCATACGCCCATGATTACAACAAGATAACAAATTTATTTCTTATGAAGCATTCCTTTACTAATTTTTATACGATATTGGTATGACGACGGTGTCGTCGTCGTCGTCCGAAGACGCATTGGTTTTCACACACTAACTTTAGTTTAAGTGAATGGATCTCTATGAAATTTTACCATAAGGTTTAATACCACAAAAGGAAGGTTGGGATTGATTTTGGGGGTTATGGTATAAACGGTTAAGGAATTAGGGGCCAAAAATAAGCATTTTTGTAACTTCCAGACATAACTTGTGTGGTAGTGTATGGATCTCTCTGACATTGTACCACAAGGTTCAATATCACAAAGGGAATGCTAGGATTGATTTTTGGGGTAATTGCCTCAAAATTTTAGGAACTAAGGGCAAAAAACAAGCATTTTTCTAGTTTCATGACAATAACTTGTGTGTAAGTCTATGGATCTTTCTGAAATTGTACTACAAGGTTCCATATCACAAAGGGAAAGCTGGAATTGAGTATGGGGGTAATTGCCCAAAACGTTAAGGAAAAAGGGGCCAAAAATAAGCATTTTTCTAGTTTCCAGACAATAACTTGTGTTCAAGTGTATGGATCTCTCTGAAATTGTTCTGCAAGGTACCATACCACAAAGGGAAGGCTGGGATTGATTTTGGGGGTAATTGCCTCAAAATTTTAGGAATTAGGGGCCATAACAGGGATTAAACTTAGCGGTCGCCCAATGCGACCAGATTTTTGGATGGGCGAATATATTTATCATCCTGAACGCCCAGGTGGCGACCAACAATATTTTGCATTGAATCCCATCTCTATCCTTTCCCCCACGATATAAACAAAAACTGTTCCCAAATAGAGACCAGATTGTCTAATTAAAGCGGGAAAATGGAACGGAGGATTTCCGGAAACCAGTAAGGTCATTTTAATAACCAAAACCTAGTCGGACAACTTAGTTTTCAATGCGAAGTCACAATTTGACACATGTATACCCCTTCTCTTAACAAGTTTTCTAATTTCTTTTTTTAAAGCTTCTACGATTAATTCATTATTTTTAAGTGTTTTTGTTACGCTGTTGAATCTGAATTACTTTAAAGATACATCCCAGTTGTATTGTTCAGGGAGTCATTACAAGTCCGTTTTTGACAAAAACTTGTAAACACAACTTGTTCTTCAATGAAAAAAGAAACGCAAAATCTCATGAATAAATATACTAATATCTAGTATGCTAACCAATCTTCGATGAAATGTAATTATATAATATTTTTGATCAACACTTATAAGAAGATGGCTTGGATTTGAAATAACATTTAATGTTTTATGGAAACAGCTATATTGTCAACAGGAAGTTCAAATTGAAGGGAGACAATTTTGGCAGGAAATGTTCTAAATTAAGTACTGTCAAATCTTGTGATATATTTATGATGGCAATTATTCAAATATTATAAAGTTACCACACATAACGTTTACCAGACTCAAACATTACATATAGGATTACATAAAAAGGCTTTATTTATAGTATATGAAATGTACATTTAAGTTTTATTTTATTAGTATAAAAATTGATTGGGCCCCTAAAATTTCCACTGGGCCCCTGAAAAAAATATTTTGGGGGCCCAGCTGGCCCCTGGAGAAAAAGAGTTAAGTTTAGTCCCTGCATAAAGGGGCAAAAAAACATGCATTTTTCTAGTTTCAGGACAATATCTTGTGTGTAAGTGTATTGATCTTTATGAAATTGTACTACAAGGTTCCATATCACAAAGGGAAAGCTAGGTTTGAGTTTAGGGGTAATTGCCCTAAACATTTATGAATTTGGGGCCAAAAAACAAGCATTTTTCTAGTTTCCAGACAATAACTTGTGTTCAAGTGTATGGATCTCTCTGAAATTGTACTGCAAGGTACCATACCACAAAGGGAAGGCTGGGATTGAGTTTGGGGGTGATGAATCATAAGGGGGTTCAAAAAATTTTTTTTGGGGGGGATTTTTTTTTCCTTTTTTTTTCTTTAAAATTTTCCATTTTAAATTGGTTATTTCTGATTTATATATAAAAGCAAATAATAATGATATGGTTTGAATAGGTAAATTAAAAAAAATTAAGTTCTTCGACCACATTCATTCTGTGTCAGAAACCTATGCTGTGTCAAATATTTAATTACAATCCAAATTCAGTGATGTATCAAGCTTGAATGTTGTGTCCATACTTGCCCCAACTGTTTAGGGTTTCGACCTCTGCGGTCGTATCAAGCTGCGCCCCAGCAGAGCATTTTATGTACTAATAAAATTATTTTTTATGAATAAATATACAAACTTTTATGACTAGAATTTGAAATAGGCAAAAATAAAGCGAGTGGCTCTTCATGAAGTTATAATGAAAAATATTTTTGCTGTTTAAAACACACATATCTTTTGGTGAGATGACAGAACATATTCAACAGCATTATTGTTTGATACCCAGGCTGTGACTCAACAGAACCTCTTTAAGGTTCTAATTTAATTGTGGCTTATTATATAATGTATCAAACTCTTTAGAATGACTGCCAAACTGGAAGAAGCAAGGATAAAGTACTAATAAAAAACTTTCAGAACTCATCAACTGCTTAAATTTGATATATTGCATTTTAAATTGAATTCATAAAAAGTAATATATTATAAATTTTGATTAACAAAGGAACTATATGCATGTGTATATCTCATGTGTATATCTAAAATTTCTGTTCTACCACTCTTTTCTTAATTTATGAACAAATGAAATGTCAACAGTTGGTGATAGGTGATTAAAAAATTGTGTATAAACTTTCTGCAAGTCTTAAAACACATCATTAGATTCATGATATATTATACATCATAAATCTTATGATGTGTTTTAAGACTTGCAGAAAGTTTATACACAATTTTTAATCATCTATTCATATTAATAAGAAGATGTAGTATGATTTTCATCAAAAATAGGAAGCAGGTACATTAATATCTAGTCATTGTTTTAATTATGATACATTGTAGTCATTACCATTAAATTCTGATTTGAAATTTTAGCTAGAAATTGGGGACATCATTGGGTCCTTATCTTATGTACTCTTATATGGTAAAATATGTACCTCTGGCAAAAGTTCTTCCTTGCAGGTCTTGTTTAAGACAGAACAAATATCTGTTTCTATACTGTATAATTGATATTCAAACCCATACTTGTACAAGTGAAGTAATAGCAAACAAAAATACATGTTCAAATTCCAATATTACAGAAGTTGAAACCTTTAAGGGTAATAAAAAGGAGGTGTGGTACCATTGTCAATGACAGGTATCCACCAAATAAAAAAGAACAAGAATGAGGCTTCAGTACTACCTTCAATCATGAGCAAAACCATTACCACATAGTCGGCTATAAAATACCCAAACATGACTAAAAATGATTCAGTTCAAAAGAAAAAATCAGTGGCATGATTGACATGTATATTTAAAACAATAGAATTAAAAAAATATGTCTGACATCGCTTTTTTAGGATTGCTTGGGGTGTTGGAAGTTTGAGCCCAGCACATATTGAAAACATTGAAATTGTGGATGTAGAGTTGGGATGTCAAGTTTCTGTCTCCAAATTAGTAATAGACCTTTTTTCAAGTAAATAAATCATATATCGTTTGATTTCTTATTCATTTTTCTTTACAACAATTATGTACCTTTATTCACTTTAGCTAAAAAAGAAAGATTTTATTTATTTCTTCTAGATCAAGTCCTATGCATTTCAGTTTTTAAGCTTCTTTTGTTTTTTATTTTAGGTTCAGCTATCACAGGACCTGTTGCAAAAGAATGTGCAGATTTATGGCCCCGTATAGCATCAAATGCCAGTTCAATATCATAATAAAATACTGTGGACTGTTCTTCATTGTATCAATTTCTTCTATATTATATTATAAATATGTTGGACTACATTTGTTTAGGCACTCTAAGGCATGACTAAATACTTTAGTCATATACTAGAATATGTGGATCTTTGATCTGTAGTCATCCATAGATGGAAAATTTTGAACCATCAATTCTATTGAAGCTGGCCTTAAACTTTTGATGTAAACCTCTTTTCCACTAAGACAAAAAGTTCCAAAGTCAAAAGACTATTTAAACCTTATCATGCAGGTCCCATAAATTTAGGAGTTGGTGACATTTTCAGTTTTGGTCTCACCTGTTTTATAGGGAGGTAAATCTGTATTTATTTCAGAGAATGTACTTCTGCAACAAGTGGCCCAAGACCACAATTAATGACCCCGCTTTTTGTTGTCCACGAATATAGTTCCTTTTAATTTGAGTGTATTTTTTCTTAATTTTTATACGACCGCAAAAAAATTTTGTGGTCGTATATTGGTATGACGTTGGCGTCGTCGTCCGAATACATATTGGTTTTCGCACTCTAACTTTAGTTTAAGTGAATGGATCTTTTTGAAATTTGACCATAAGGTTAAATACCACAAAAGGAAGGTTGGGATTGATTTTGGGGGTTATGGTACCAACAGTTAAGGAATTAGGGGCCAAAAAGGGGCCAAAAATGAGCATTTTCTAGTTTCCAGACAATAACTGTGGAACGGTGTATGGATCTCTCTGAAATTATACTACAAGTTTCCATACCACAAAGGGATGGTTAGGATTTGCTTTGGGGGGTTATGGCTCAAACCGTTTAGGAATTAGGGGCAAAAAAGGGGGAAAAACAAGGTTGTCCTGGTTAATGGACAAATACTTTAGTACAAAACATAATTTAAAGCAGTGTAAGGGAGATAAATCAAATACATCATTGAAATTATCTCCCTTACACTGCTTTTAAATTATGTATAAAGTAATGGTTAATGAACAATAAAGATAATCTAAAACAGTGTAAGGAAGGTAATCCAAATACAACGTTTTGGTTACTTCCCTTACACTGCTTTTAAATTATGTTTAAAGAAATGCATATTTATAAAGGAAGACCAGTAAAAATATCTGCAAATGTTTTCATCTTTTTTTTTTACAAAAAAATCCATATGAAAGATTTGACACTATATTTTTATTAATTCTATTATAAAATAGATTAAGTTAGCACTATGGTAAATTTAAATGGGTAATTATGGTTGCCAACTCCATTGGAAATTTGAATTGAGATTATGACCATATCTTGAGGGAAAGAATTTTTTTGGGGGAAAAAGGGGGGGGGATAAAAAGAAATTGTGGGGGGCCAATTTTTTCTCATTTCAGATTTCAGAAATTAAAAAGAATTATTCTTCAAATATTTTTTTTTTTTCAAATTTCAAATATTGAAAAATTTCAAGAAGTAATCTTTAATTGCACAGTATGGCGCATTAGATTTGTAAAATCTTTGATCACATTTATTTATTTGTTATGCCGAATCTAACAGTGTATTTAGATTTTTAATTTTGGGTCCAGTTTTCAAATTGGTCTACATTAATGTCCAAAGGGTCCAAAATTAAACTTTGTTTGATTTTAGCAAAAATTGAATATATGAGGTTCTTTGATATGCTGAATCTAAACATGTATTTAGATTTTTGATTTTTGGCCCAGTTTTCAAGTTGGTCCAAATTGGGGTCCAAAATTAAACTTTGTTTGATTTCAACAAAAATTGAATATATGGGGTTCTTTGATATGCTGAATCTAACCATGTATTTAGATTTTTTATTTGTGGACCCCGTTATCTAATTGGTTCATATTGAGGTCAAAAGGGTCCAAAATTAAACTTTGTTTGATTTCATCTAAAATTGAATTATTGGGGTTCTTTGATATTCCAAATCTAACCGTGTATTTAGGTTTTTAATTTTGGGTCCTGTTTTTTAAATTGGTCTACATTGAGGTCCAAAGGGTCCAAAATTAAACTTAGTTTGATTTTAACAAAAATTGAATTCTTGGGGTTCTTTGATTTACTGAATCTAAACATGTGTTTAGATTTTTGATTATGGGCCCAGTTTTCAAGTTGGTCCAAGATAGGGTCCAGTATTTAAACTTTGTTTGATTTCAACAAAAATTGAATATATGGGGTTCTTTGATATGCTGAATCTAAACATGTATTTAGATTTTTGATTATGGGCCCAGTTTTCAAGTTGGTCCAAATTGGGGTCCAAAATTAAACTTTGTTTGATTTCAACAAAAATTGAATATATGAGGTTCTTTGATATGCTGAATCTAACCATGTATTTAGATTTTTTATTTGTAGGCCCCGCTATCAAATTGGTTCATATTGAGGTCAAAAGGGTCCAAAATTAAACTTAGTTTGATTTCATCGAAAATTGAATTATTGGGGTTCTTTGATATGCCAAATCTAACCGTGTTTTTAGATTTTTAATTTGGGTCCAGTTTTTTAAATTGGTCTTCATTGAGGTCCAAAGGGTCCAAAATTAAACTTAGTTTGATTTTTAACAAAAATTGAATTCTTGGGGTTCTTTGATATGCTGAATCTAAACATGTGTTTAGATTTTTGATTATGGGCCCAGTTTTCAAGTTGGTCCAAGTTGGGGTCCAAAATTAAACTTTTTTTGATTTCAACAAAAATTGAATATATGGGGTTCTTTGATATGCTGAATCTAACCATGAATTTAGATTTTTTATTTGTGGGCCCCGCTATCAAATTGGTTCATATTGAGGTCAAAAGGGTCCAAAATTAAACTTTGTTTGATTTCATCAAAAATTGAATTATTGGGGTTCTTTGATATTCCAAATCTAACTGTGTATTTAGATTTTTAATTTTAAGTCCCGTTTTTTAAATTGGTCTACATTAAGGTCCAAAGGGTCCAAAATTAAACTTAGTTTGATTTTAGCAAAAATTGAATTCTTGGGGTTCTTTGATATGCTGAATCTAAACATGTGTTTAGATTTTTGATTATGGGCCCAGTTTTCAAGTTTGTCCAAGTTGGGGTCCCAAATTAAACTTTGTTTGAGTTTAACAAAAATTGAATATATGGGGTTCTTTGATATGCTGAATCTAACCATGTATTTTGATTTTGGACATTGGACCATAATAGGTAAATTAAAAAAATTCAAGTTCTTAGACCACATTCTTTCTGTGTCAGAAACCTATGCTGTGTCAAATATTTAATAACAATCCAAATTCAGAGCTGTATCAAGCTTGAATGTTGTGTCCATACTTGCCCCAACTGTTCAGGGTTCGACCTCTGCGGTCGTATCAAGCTGCGCCCCAGCGAAGCATTTTATTTTTCTTTCCCTTCCTCACTCATTTCTTAGTTTTTTTTGGGTGGAAATGAAAGAAGAGAGGTGAAATAAACTTTTGGATGTTGTATTTTAACTGATTTTGATATGGAAAGAGTGAGTAGGCCAGGTGCAAAAAGGTGATATTTACAGTTTTTCGGAACATCTCTTGACTTGTCCATAGGGGTATGGATGTGTATTGGCTAAATTTGTAAGAGTCATTGGTTCAATCTTTCTGAATTTTGGAAATATTTTTGGACTAGTACTATACATTACACATACAAAAGATTTGACAAAAATGCATGGTGCAATTTTTTTAATGAAACAAAACGTTATAAAGAACTAATAGAGGAATTTAATTGTGGTCTGTGGCCAAGTGTGAGCTATTTATCTATTATATTCAGCATAATTTAATGACTGAAGGAACCAAAATTTAAGACCTAGAAGTATTGGGTTGCCATAAAGGGCATTTTTGTGCGGTTGGCTGAATTTTAACCTGCGTCGCAGAAGGTGGGAGCAGGTCTAGTAATTGTTTGACTTGTCGGAAAAAAAGAAAACTTTTGTCAAAGTTTTTTTTACTTCTACGTTAGGGAATGATTTAATATTTGGTCTGCAGCTTTAAAACATTGAGTTGAAGTGAGTAAGCAATTTTTACATCTGCCACTTCCTTTTTGTCAATACATGTAGTTCGAAATTTTACAACTAATTGTACAAGGAAAATTTTCGTCAGTTATATCAGTACCTATGGGAGGGAATGATTTAATATTGGGACTGCAGATTGATAATGTTGAATTGTAGTGAGTAAGCAATTTTTATAAGACCGCAAAAAAAATTTGCGATCGTATATTGGAATGACGTTGGCATCGTTGTCCGAAGACACATTGGTTTTCGCACTCTAACTTTAGTTAAAGTGAATGGATCTCTATGAAATTTTACCATAAGGTTCAATACCACAAAAGGAATGTTGGGATTGATTTTGGGGGTTATAGTACCAACAGTTAAGAAATTAGGGGCCAAAAATAAGCATTTTTGTAACTTCCAGACATAACTTGTGTGTTAGTGTATGGATCTCTCTGACATTGTACCACAAGGTTCCATATCACAAAGGAAATGCTGGGATTGATTTTGGGGGTAATTGCCTCAAAATTTTAGGAATTAGGGGCCAAAAAAGGGGCAAAAACAAGCATTTTTCTAGTTTCATGATAATAGCTTGTGTGAAAGTGTATGGATCTTTCTGAAATTGTACTACAAGGTTCCATATCACAAAGGGAAAGCTGGAATTGAGTTTGGGGGTAATTGCCCAAAACGTTTAGGAATAAGGGGCCAAAAATAAGCATTTTTTGTAGTTTCCAGACAATAACTTGTGTTCAAGTGTATGGATCTCTCTGAAATTGTACTGCAAGGTACCATACCACAAAGGGAAGGCTGGGATTGATTTTGGGGGTAATTGCCTCAAAATTTTAGGAATTGGGGGCCAAAAAGGGAAAAAAAAACAAGCATTTTTATACGACCGCAAAAATTTTGCAGTTGTATATTGGTATGACGTTGGCGTCGTCATCGTCATCCTAAGACACATTAGTTTTCGCACTATAACTTTAGTTTAAGTGAATGGATCTCTATGAAATTTTACCATAAGGTTCAATACTTCAAAAGGAAGGTTGGGATTGATTTTGGGGGTTATGGTACCAACAGTTAAGGAATT